TTGATTTGGTGAAAGACAGTATTGATTTCATTGGATATGTCTTATGAAAATTGGGTCTTGAGTGCTATTTAGAAATTTCAAAGCTATTAGAGGAATCACTGGGGTGTTATTTCAGCCAGTAAACAGTACATACCTGTCTATGTACTGTGTGAACACTACTTGCTCTAAGAGACAATAACAGCTTCCAGTACTCTCTCCTTCTGATGAAAAGATGAAGGAATAGGTGGAAGAGGGGAAGAAAGGAACTTTATTTGGCATATATATATATAGGTACCACCCTGCCCAGTCTGAAAGCCTAACTGGCTTTCAAAGATTGTAGAACTCTCTGCATGCATGTGCATATTTTATAAATGGTCTGAACTTACCTGAGCATCTGTGGCTCTGGTGACATCCCATTTGTTCATATTTCTGTAGTTTCCTCAGTTAACTCATTGGATAGATGATAGTTCATTAAATTAGTTGACAATGGACATCCAACCTTTCCACTCTCCCTCCTCAGCTCTAAAATGAAAATAAAGAAATTACAATTGCAAGAAGGAAAAGTAATATGCAAATAGCTCCAAAAGCACTGACACATTTGAACTAATGCAGTTCCTAGAATCGTAACAATAAATAAGCTGTCAGGGGCATCACAGTTACTCCAGTGACATGACCACCTTTCAATAGCAACAGTACAAGTTGTCAGAGCTAGTTATCTAGGTAGTTCTGAAATATTTTTCTATCACTGTAACTTTTCAGAGTCACAATGCTTTGAAAGAGCCCTTTTCCCCTTGCAACACTTCATGTGGCTTTTAAATACCTGTATATATCACCTTGCAAAACAAGTGGTTCAGGAACAAACTTTTCAGAGATGTCAGTTACTGAGATCAGTTGTTTCAGGAAATGTTCTTTGATGAAATGACTTGACAAAGTTCGCCCAACTTCCAACAGTTTTCCTCCAAATATTATAAAGGTATCAAATAGACCAACCCCAAAGAACCCTTTTTAAAGAATTCAACCCTTTCAAGCAATTGGTTTTCTTTCTTAAAATTGCTACAAATAATAATTTACAAAATCCATTCTGCAAAGCTATATCAACGTAACAGTATCACTATATATATATATATATAAATCAGAAACCACAAAACAGCCTTTCCATCCTTTTCTTTAATGCACAAACTTTCTTGTCCCACTGGAAGTATTAGAGCAGTCTATTCACTTTGACCATTAACTCAGTGCCCTGATTCGGGTTATAGGCACTATGGTTGAGGTTTAAAAAGCCTTTATAAAAGCTTAGAAATACCCTCCTCAAGCCCCTTCTTGATTTAGTTGCTTTAGTTAATATTGGTTAACACTTACTTGGAACAGGTATGTTATTCTTCCATTAAGCTTTATTCTGGTCTTTCTTTCAATCTTCATTTAAATTCGGTTTTCCTCTTGGTTGGCATCCATACACTTAGCTACCTCAGAAACAAGATGCATTGCCAACTCGAACATATGACCACAAATGAAAGAGGCACCATTAACCTCTGCTCTTTTCTATCCCCTGCAAGTTGGAGACATACTGAACTCAGAGCTTGGAGCCTGGGAAGTGGGAATGCTGAACTGCTTGGGAACTCAAAGTGCCAGACTTCAGGCTATTAAGCCGTTGGGCTGGCTCATTGAGTTATAATGGCATACATTTTTGGTGGGGTTTTTTGTTTGTTTGTTTTATCAGCCCACAAAGCCAGATTCACATGTTCTTACTTTGACTGAGTGTATCTTTTGCTGTAAAACTATGTGCTGAAAACTGGGCCACTGATTAGAGAGTTTTACTCAGCATTTATAAGGCAATCAAGATCTCATCCAGAATGACTAGCACAATAATTTTAATTTTTAAGCAGACATACAGAGGAGAAAATATTTGGGCACTCAAAGTTGCTTACAGATTTTGGCTATGGGAAGCAATGTCTTGGTTTTACATGCCCAAAATTTGAGTTCTTAGAGATTGCATAATCAGAAATAAAAAAAGAAAATACAGAATCTGGAAATCTTTGTTGCAGGTGGGGGAGCCACCATATAGAAAGACAATGAATTAAGGAGAAATGCAGACACCACATGAGTGGTGGGTGGGAAGTTTCCTGCTCCCCTCCCTGCCATGACCCAGCCTCTCCTCACACCTGCAACAGCCACCACAGAGTCAGCACTCAGCAATGAGTACCTGGGGTGGCATCTCCTGTAGCATAGCTTCTCCCTGCTTTTCACAGGAGAGGCCAAACACACTTGCTCTGGGCCTTTTTGCAGAATTTATGCAGAATTTATGCAGGCGTAATTGCCAATGACACACACCCCACCCCACCCCCTCCCAATTAGGGTCAACCACTGTGTGTGTACAATCAAAACTGTATTTGGTTTTCTTTTTTTCCCCTTCAGCTGTAAGATCAAGGATTTTGCCTTGTCTTTTTTACACTGCTAAATGTTTCTGTCCTCAGTTTGTAGGGCAAGAAAGCCTAGGCATATGACACCAACAACTTACGTGTTGCCAGTCTGGGGAAAGAAAGTACACATTTAAAAGAATCAGCAGCCTAGGTACGATATAATGTGACTGAAGAGTTTCGCTGTTACATTGTAGAGTACAAAAATGAAAATATAAAGTGCATTTTAAATGATTAATGTACAAAAGATGATCTCTTCCAGTGTGCATTAATCAAGAAAAAATGCACATTTTCTATAGTGGTTAATGTTGCAGGTCCATTATTCAGCTTTGATAATGTGCATAAAAATGCTCAATATGACAATGAGTTGGGGTAGCTGAGAATTTAAGATGGTGGCAAGTTTGTTGTAGTATTTGGATTAGCATTCTTAACCTGCATCTTGACAGCTTCTTTTCCTTATTTCGCAAGCATTAATAAAATCTAGCTTTATACTCTTTGATTTTTTTTTTTTAAACAAAACATTAAAATATACCTGCTCAAACAAATACTACCAGCTTTCATTAGTCAGGATGGTTATATGCAAAAGAAATGATGCCAGATAGTAACAAATCCAAGAGAAGTTTATTATGAAAATGGCACCTGCAGGATGAAAAAAAATTAAGTTACATAAAGACAACCATGTATGACATGTATGAGAATCTACAAAAGTATAAAAAGAACCCTGTTGTAAATGAAGTATGTACATTTCTGATTTGCAGCATTATCAATGATCAATGAAAAAAATGTTTCAAATAAGCCAGGCACTCAAGAAGTTAGATTCGGTTAGCTTAACACAAAATAAATGTACCATAGCTGTCACTTTTTAACATTTTAATTTTTTTATATTGTAGAGTTGGTAACACTGCTAAGATTTATACGAACAAAATCCCTTTCCCCATTATTCAGCTACTTGGCACCAGTCTCCTCATAAAAGATTTCATATATTTGTACAAGAAATAGTTAAAAACACAGACACAGTCTTCACAGGTAATGAAGGTTTTTTTTTTTTTCATTTTGTAATTTTAAACACTATGGATTTAGACAGCAGCTGTGATTATCTGTTAGTTTAAATCACCAGAAATCATTTTGACACAACACAGAAACATTTATAAAAAAACCCAAACCAAACCAAAACAACAACAGCTGTCTAGCTGTTCTTTGTAGCTGATAGGTGCACTCCTTTGATTGTTCCATAGCTAGAGTAGAGCTTCCAAAATTAAACTTTGAATTTCCCAATCAGCTTTCTCGCCTTTAGAGACCTACTTAAATCCTTCCAATGGAACCTTTAAAAGCTCATTAATTAAAGTTTTTGGTGCCAAATTCATTTTTCACTATTACTCCACTGTGGCTTGGACCTACTTCTCAAATTCAAAGCTACCATAGGAATTGACTCAATGCACTGAGTGATCAAAAATTCAAAGGACAGCTGAGTTAATATATTAGCATTGCACACATAAGCAAATATATATGATAATTCTAAGCTCAGTTTCCTTTTTAAACAATGCTGGCCAACCTTTTGAGCATTTCCTATCTCACTGGTAATTGCTCTGCATATTACTCTGCCAGCTTACCTGGGAGAAAACCAAAGAAATGCACCCTCTGCTTACAGTTCGAGCACAAGGGACTCTGGGAACATTAACAACTGAGGCTATATGGTGTCAATTTGCTTAATATATTTGAACATTACTCTATAGTGCATCGTGGGGTACACTGGAAGAGTAAGTCATACCCAGAATTCCTCTGTGGGAAAAATGGCTCCATTAACCTTGAGCTAGTTAAGAGTCTTTTATCTCTGAGAGTGAAGAAGAGAGAACAAGAGAGCGAGAGGAAAAGAGAGGGGAAAAGTGTGGAGACAGAGGGAGAGAGGAAGGGGGAGAGAGAGGTTTGAGAACACGCAACAGCAAAGCAACAGCAGAAATTAAAAGGTATACAGACAGTGGAAGCAGCATAAAGGTGACATTACAGAGGAAGGCCACCACACAAAAACCACTAACCCTCAAGAATCACTGGTTCACTAGGACTTTAGGAATGGGACTTCACCACTCCAGACTAGAGATAAAGCACAGAGAAGACAAAGGACAAAACAACTACATTAGCTTAGTATATACTGCATATAGTAACACACATTGAAACTGCAATGGGACTGACAGCCAAGGACACTTACACATTGTACACATTACAGTTCTCACATCTGTTATTAGATGCCTTAACAAACAGCTGCCAAAGATGGAGTGGAAGAAGAATTTATATTTGACAGTCATTTGGAGTGTTTGACACCACACTGTGATTTCTGGCAACAAAGACAAAATAGGAGATTTCTTTTCTTTTACTTAATGTGCAGTTTTCAGTTGTAGTTATCTATTTCAAGCTTATTAACCCATTCTTTAGTTTTAAAACATATAGGTTTCAGACTAGAAATAAGAAGAAAAAACCAACATAAAATGCCCAAATCAAAGAACACAAAGAAATGTACAACCTTCCCTCTATAATATTAAATGAAAACCAAATCAAAACATGTTAAATAGCTCTTCTGGTTGTTTGTTGTTGTGTTTTTGTTTTTTTTTTTCCACTCTGAAGCATTATTTGACATTGTAAAATTAGCCTCAGTTACACTGAGAAAAAAACTAAAGCAAAACAATATGTTCCTAAGAAACTACTCCTTGCGTCAATTAAATTGAGTTTTTTGTTTTTAAGCACTTTTTCAGAAACGCTTCCTGACCATTTAAATTTGATGTGAGGCTATGCTTGTTAGTTTGGAGGTAAAAAATTTTAAGTCCTGCAGCAAAAGTTAATGAGGGCTTTTGTCTTAACTAACCAAGGAGACTGCAGCACCTGACTATAAACCGGTACGAAACACATTCTTTCCAAAAAATCCAGCCCACAAGCTGCATATTGTATGAAGACATTACAGATTAATAAATGATAGCACCATGGTTTTAGAAATTAAGTTAAAGTTTCAGTAATTAACATTTAGTCCAACTTTATAACATTCTAGTCACAGGCCAGAAATTAACTTTTTAAGAACCCAAATTATTTTATGTGCAAGTAAGAAAATCTTAACCATAAAAAGAGAATGAAACTCTGCATAAAATTCTAAAATACTATCCCCTATTTTTAAAGGAATTAGGAACAAAACCCCCTTTTCATTTGACTTAGTCAAACAGGGCACATTGTTTATGCTTGTCTCTTTTAATCTTGATCATATCAAGATAATTTTGAAGTAAAACCAATGGTTGTCACTTTAAAATCTCTTTACCACAACACTGAGTATTCTATGGCAGAGGCATACATATATTAAAGGCATCTTAATAAAGATGCAAAGGAAAAACCACACATCTTAGAAGAAGACAAAATGGCAGGCAACCGGTACTTCGACTCTCTGAAGGCAAAAAAAACCCAAACCTTTACATTAAGGAATAAGTCAAGTTAAAGAGAAAGGGAATGAAATGGAGACCATCATATTGAGAGAATAAGCTGACCTGCTCAAATTCAAAGTGCTAGAATTAAAGGTGTAAATTAAAACATAGTCTATGCCTCAGAGTATAACACTAAACACAGTATGTGGTCATATTTCAATCCTCTTTCCGTTCCAGAGTCTGTGTAGTGTGAATGCCATTGCTGTACACAGGAAATGGAAGAGTTGAAAAAAGTCCTTCAGCAGTTGTGAACACATTCCCTGCAGGCATTTGGGTCAGACTGGCCCCACTCACAGCACTTCCAAATGGTCCTGACATATTGAGTCGGTGAACATGGTGGTAGAGCATTTCCATCGGTGTTTTAGGATCCAGCCCAAAGCTGGGGCTGTTAACATCAACAAAGTTAACAGCGTGGGTATTGGGGAGGAGGTTGCCCTGCATGGCTAAAGTAACTTCAGCTGGAGCATACCGAATAGTACCAGTGGTGTAGACCCTCTGAGCAGCAGTGCTGGTCGCAGCAAGGGTTCCTGTTACCCTGTGAACCAAAGGAAGTACCACATTGCCTGCTTGTAACCTCTGAAGGGCTTCCAGATCCCCAGTGTACAACAAAGAGTTGGAAGCTGTGGGACCTCCTGGATGTTTGTCCCGTGGAGATGCTGAAAGTGGGGGTGACAAAGGGTCAGAGGACACAGGAGCCAAGGTCGAGTTGGATGAGGTGCTGAACTGAGTTTTACGGCTGGCAGTATTTTCAGTCCCTGGTGGGGTGAGAACAGAGTCTGGAATGGAGACATGTAAACTACTGCTGGCTTGTGGGGAAGGGAAGTGCTCAGAGCTGGGAGGCTTGGTCATACTGTAGGGTGATTCATTCCTTGAGATTTCCCTGTTGGGTGGGTAATTCCAGATACTGCTATCATTATCAAAATTTATAGGTTCTGAGATTTCTGTTTTAATTTTGAGCACTGAGGCACTGTTGGGTGACGAGAGCAGCTGAGGCTGGTCCACCAAAGCTGGGTCAAGTCCATTTGGACTTGAGGTGCTTGACAGCCTTCTCCGGGTCATGCTGCCTCCTTTTTGCTTTTTTCTCCTCTTCTTCCTCTTTTGATGTTTGCTGGAAGACTGAGCATTTACTTCGCCTGCACTGTCTGAGTCCTTGGCACTGTCTGAGGACAGTGATTCACAGTTCTGCAACCGCAAGTCTGATTCACTCTCAACATAGCGCTCCACCTTGATCTGCATAGAGCCAAGAGTGCCAAAACTGTCCTCAGGAGCCTTTTGATTCTCGAAATCAGAGTTTTCAAAGCTGTCATCACTGTCCCTGCTGTCCTGGTTGCTGGAGCTGTTCCCATCATCATTACAGTTCATTTCATTATCTGACTGATTTCCTGACTTTTTCCTGTCGGATTCAGGGTCTTCACTGTTTTCTGACTGGTTTCCTTTCTCATCTGACTTTGAGTTCTCATTGTCCTCTGGAGCAAAAGGAAAGTGAAACAAACCATTAGTAATGGGAACATGATACTACAACCCACGTCCAAATTTCTACCTACAAATGAGATTTGACTGCTGTTAACATTTTCCAACAAAAGGCATTCTCTTTTGTAGAGCCACATTTTTTTGCAATGTCGTGTTGCAGGAGTTTTGATCAGCATTAATCTCTGGCTCAGGACTCTTAATGCACTAAAAGCTATGCTATATGGCCTGTACCTTGATTGAGGGAGGAGGTGTGGGCTTTTCATCTGCTCACTGGACAAGAATGATTTTGACAACTGGGAGCACAAGAGCATTGTAGCTGTGTCATCCCAAGAGGAGTCAGTGAACAATCCCGTTGTGACCATTATGTTCTGATGATTGTTCTTTCACATCCGTGTTCTCCTACAGTGGGCAGGCATCCAGGTGTAGCACTATTTAGTAATGAATATTCTAGTCCTCTTATCTCATTTTCTTCTCACCATTTCCACTATCAAAGTGGCATAGTGTCTCTGACTTGAGTGGAATTACTACTGATTACCTCCCGTGTGAGAGGAGAAGCAGGTCATACATGTATAAATCTGAATGAATAAAGCAGAATAATTTTGTTACATTGCTGGACTGCCTTCTCATATTCCCCTGAAGGGCAACAAATAAAATAAAATTAAAAAAAAAAAGTCAGTGAATTAGACTCTTGATTGATCCAAGTCATCTATGCACTGAGAAGCTGTCACTCTTTTGTGAACTCATTTAGTTGTGTTTTAGATTTTTACCTATTTCTAATACAGATGAGATAAATACTCTAGCCCATTGGACACAGACAGCCAAAGCAGCATTGAGAATTAACACTCTCCATTATCATACTATATTTGAAAGGGTCATGGAAGGCTTCAGGAGACCCTGTCTTTTACAGACCAGACAGAAATCTTTTGTTGGGAAATAAAGGAGTTTTTTTCACTCATCAGAGCCAAGTACTACACATTTCAATATACTTGTTTTAGTGGGAGGGAAGAAGGGCCAGTTTACCTCAAAAGATTGGTTACTCCTGGAGCCATATCAATATCAAAAAATTTCTCAGAAGTGCTGGAGAAGGTGGGCTCAACCCCTGTTGAGCTGCCAGAGGATCCAGGGCAATGCACTCCATGAGACGTTTGCTTGAGTCACCACCAGAAGAGAGACCCTCTCTTTTAAAAAATAAAACCCACAGAAGCAAAGTAACAGCCACAACCCCTTAAAACTCATTCAGATTTTTGTTCCACCTAGGACTGAATTTCTCCTACAATTATTTTTTTTTTCTTGAAGAAGATTTCTTCTAAGGTCATGGTTTCTAGCTGGTCAACAGTGGGTTTAGGGTGAGGTAGTCTAAAGCTGCACAAAATTTGCCTGGGATTTTATTGAAGTTTAAGCCAAAATTGTTGGTTTCACCCAAGATCGTAGAATCATAGAATGGTTTGGGTGGGAAGGGACCTTAAAGATCATCTAGTTCCAACTCCCCTGCCATGGGCAGGCACACCTTCCACTAGACCAGGTTGCTCAAAGCCTCATCCAGCCTGACCTTGAAGACAGCCAGGGATGGGACATCCACCACTTCTCTGGGCAACCAGTACCAGTGCCTCACCACCCTCTCCGTGAAGAACTTCTTCCTGATATCTAATCTAAATCTCCATGCTTTCCATTTAAACTTGTTATGTCTTGTCCTATCACTACAGGCCCT